GCGGGGGAATCATTTAATGAACTGATTGCTTACAGTACCTCTAGTTTCTTTGAAAATCCTCTTCTCTGCTCCTGGGTATTAAATAAACTAACCATGAACCAGATTGTCTCTAATGACTGTATTGTGAAAATGATCAAATTCTTTGAAATTATTCACTGATCTTGAGTATTAAACAAAATAAGTACATACAGTTATGATAAGCATGAGTGTCTCTTCCAGAACCGTGAATTGCATGGTCCCAAAATCAGGGGTTCTGGTATTAGGGCGGGGCTCTATTTATCGTGAAATTGGTTAAATCCTCTCTGCTCCTGGGTATTAAATATCAGACTAAGTAAATACACATAGTTATGATGAGCATGCCTCTTCCAAAATTATGAATTTTATGGCCCAGACTCGGGGTTTCTGGTGTATTGGCAGGGCTTTATTGATTATAAAGTGAAGTGCATTAAATCTTTGAAAATCATATTTGATCCTGGTTACACAACTGTAAAAATTTAAGTCCATGGTTATGATGAGCATGACTGCCTCTCTAAAATTGTTAATTTTATGGCTTCTGGGTCAGGAGTTTGGTATTAGAGTGGAGCTCTATTGATTATATAGTTAAAATGCATTAATTTTTTAAAAAAAATATTCTCTACTTTGGGATATTTTTCAATAAAAGGAAGTGCGTGGTTATTATAAGCAAGAATGCTACTTTAAAAAAAAAAACCCTAGAGGTGCTGTGAGCAATGAGCTCACTAAATGATACCCCCGCCTCCCGCATGAATATAATGGGAGTGTCTATATTTTGTTGTGGGAAACTCAAAATATGTGTCGGATCAAAAAGTAAGAAAGGAGGTGCACAATGACAATATGTAATAAAGATTCTGTGAAAGTTTCATCAAATTTCATTCAGCGGTATGAGAGGAGTTGCGGATAAAAGATGGGTACCCCAAAGCGTAACAGACAGACGGACATACCGATTACTATATACCCTCCTGCTTTTCAAGCGGAGGATATAATAATGCTACTAGTCCTCGATCTGTAGAATACAAATTAGATAGAACCCTGGCCAGGATCAGGACACTTGACTTAATGGTCCAGATCTTCACAATTCTGGTAAAAATATCCTTGTATATTAAAACTTTTACTCTGTTTGTCTCCAACATGCCCAGAAGCAGAGAGGAATTTCAAAGAAATACAATGTGATTATAATGCATTTTTACTACATATTTAACACATCCCTTCCCTAACACCAGAACCAATGACCCAGGGTCACAAAATTTGCAAATTTGTAAGATGTACCCTCAAGATCATAATTATGCAATTAGTTGAAGGTCATCTTACTCATGTGATCCTTTTGCACACAAGAACTACAATAATATATTGTTTTCTATGTTTTGAAAAAAATAGGATTGTTCGGGGGAATATGAAAATAAAGCTTAAATTAAGGTTAATTACCCTTGAGATTTCATCAAAAGTCAACATGTCAAAGAAAGAAAGTACCACTTGATAACAAATGCTAAATAAAATATTTATCGAGAAAAATTCTTTAAAAGATGCGTATATTTTTTTTTAAAATACACCTAATACACCTAATTAATTCCATACTGTTAGTGAAGGGCATCGTTGCAAAAAATATATGTTTATCAAGGGCAAGGTGGACTTCAATAGCCTCTGGAACGTTGTTTTTCCTGTTTGTTATGTCCTAATGTGAAGATTTGAAACGGAAAGTACATTGCAAATGGCGGATTTTATAGGGGTCTTGTTTTTATACACGCCATGCTTTCAGTAAGAGCCTTTCAAAGACCATTCACGTCCAACTTGCTCTTCGTTGATAAACATATATTATCATTATTTCTGCAATGATGGTTTCCACTAAAATTACAAAAGTTAGCAGGCGCATTTACAACTAGAGGTACTGTGAGCAATGAGCTCACTAAATGATACCCCCCGCCTCCCATAATGTCCATGTGTTGCTATATACCGTAAATCTGCAAATTTTTACGTAGATTTTATTTTGCGAATTAGGGTCAAAATGCTGTTGATTAATTTTTACGTTTCAAAATTTTGCGAATGACCACTGCTTTGTTTACATTTTCTTATTAATGATTTATTTTTAAGAAAAATATTTTTGCGAATGCAATGCACTCGCAAATTTGCTAAAAATTTATCTACAGCAAAAATTTCCAGATTTACGGTAATGTTTTACGGTAATGTGTAAAGAGGAATAACCTGTTATCCAGAATCTTCTATATGTAACGTCATAGGTAAACATATAAGGGCAATGTCCATGCTTTGCTATGGGAAACCTAAAATACGTGTCGAATAAAAAAGTAAAATAGGAGGTGTACAATGGCAATATGTTATAAAGATTCTGTGAAAGTTTCATTAATTTTCACTCAGTAGTATAAGAGGAGTTGCGGATAGGAGATAAAGCGTAACAGACGGACGGACGGACGTACAGCTAGACGGACGGACAGACGGAAATCCCGATTTTTATATACCCTTCCACTTTTCAAGCGGGGTTGGGGGGGGGGGGGTTGTATAATAAACATTGAAAAACATTGCCACTTTTGGACACCCACGGAACATTTGGAAGTCGATCTTCAATTATGTCATGAATAATCAAAACCAAAATTTGGATTTCCAAAACAAACCATAGATTATATCCTACACTACACATCATGACCAAAAAGAACAGTAAAGATGATGAAAGACTGACTCTATTAAATAAAAGTAAAATGGAGACATCTGATTTACCTACGGTAGTCTTAAAAAGCTCCACCAGTAAAACTAGAGGTACTGTGAGCAATGAGCTCACTAAATGATACCCCCGCCTCCCATATGAATAAAATGGTAGTGTCCATGTTTTGCTCTGGAAAATCCAAAATATATGCCAGATCAAAAAGTAAAATAGGAGGTGCACAATGGCAATATGTAATATAAAGATTCTTTGAAAGTTTCATTAAATTTCCTTCAGTGGTATGAGAGGAGTTGCGGATAAGAGATGGGTACTCCAAAGCGTAACAGACGGACGGACGGACGGAAATACCGATTACTATATACCCTCCCGCTTTTCAAGCGGGGGGTATAAAAATATACACATTTTTTAAAATTTTTTCTCGATAATTTTTTTTAAATGTTTGATTTCAAGTGATACTTTCTATTTGTTAAACAATGATATATTGATAAAGTGTTATTAAGTTTTAACTTTTTACCTCATATTGTTTTAAAGCTATTGTAAAAATTTTTTTTTGAATCGTTGACCTTTTAATGAAACCTCGAGCTCAAGCATTCAACATTACCATTACGCTTGCCCGTCTAATCCATGAAAATACATGCATAATATGTAAATCTATGACAACCATGTATACTGGTTCTGATGTGATTGTTTGATTAAAGAGCTAACGGTATTTGTTAATAGGCAACATAATTAAGTCCACTAGAGATGCAACATTGTTTGTCAAATTAATACAAAATCATAATGTTAACATGTAAATTGCCAATCTTATTAGAAAAAATGACATGAATATGGGTAAATCTAATCTCCTTCTCTGTTTCTAGGTATTTAATAAACTAACTAAGAACATAGTTATGTGGGACAAGAGTGCCTCTACCAAAATTGTGAATTTTATGGCCCAAGGGTCAGGGGCTCTGGTTTTAGGACTGGGGCTCTATTGATTATATAATGAGAATGCCATAATTCTTTGAAAATCTTCTCTGCTTCTGGGTGTTAAATAAACCACCTAAGTACATAGTAATGATGAGCAAGAGTCTCTCTTCCAAACTGTGAGTTTTATGGCCCCAGGGTCAGAAGTTCTGGTGTTATGGCGGGGCTCTATTGATTATATAGTAAAAATGGATTAACTCTTTGAAAATCTTCTTCTCTGCTCCTATGTACTAAATAAATTAAATAAGTACATAGTTATAATGAGCAAGAATGCCTCTAACAAATTTGTGAATTTCATTGCCCCAGGGTCAGGGGTTCTGATGTTAGGGCGGGGCTCTATAATGATTATATAGTGAAAATACATTACATCTGTGAAAATCTTTTTCTCTGCCCCTGGGTAATAAGCAGATGAACTATTTATATATTTATAATGTGCAAGGGTTCTTCTTCCAGAAATATGAATTTCAAGGCCCCCAGGGTCAGGGATACTATAGATGGGGATCTACGTATATACTAAAAATGACTTGTTTGAAACCTGTTCCTTGGTATTAATGAAACATTTTTGATAAGCAAGTGGGCCTTATAAAAAATTGTGCCATGTGTGAACCTAGGGTCAGGGGCTCATTTGTGGTAGGGGGATTTCAGATTATTTCTGAATATTACTGATTAATTAAAATGCATTTTTTTTGTTCCCCTACCCTGTAACCAAACTAAGCAATTGCTAAGTGTATAGTTGTGATTAGCAATGGTGCCTCTTTCAAAATTGTGAATGCCATAGCATCTAGCTTAAACATGAACCAAAATCAATTATTTGAAAGTTTTTGCATGATGCTCAAGTGACCTATAAGGTCCATAGAGGACCTCTTATTTATGTTACATGAAGGATTTATTATATGTTGACATGCAACTTATTATCTTGCATGTTGACATAAATAAGTTCCATGTTAACTAACTTGCATGTTGACAAACATATGTAGCATGTCACATTTCTACATAATTATGTTGCATGTTAACATAAATGTCACATATTGACATATATATCTTAAAAGTTGACATATTGTTTGTACATGTTGACATAATTTATCTTGCATGTAGGGGCGGTGGGGGCAGAAAAATGTCACCATATAATAGATCGAGGTTAAACAGCATTGATAATGTAATTATAATAGATTTGATGAAAGTTCTACAGTCTTATCTAAGAAATACATGTATTTCTTTTCAGATTGCTAGGTACATATTTTTTACCATATTGATGGAAAGGATACAATAAAACACTAAGAATTAGTACATATGTACTATAAAATGTATTTATTTCATGTTTAAAATCTAAAAAAAAAGGACAATTACAGATGATTGAAGAACAGAGGAATAATGTGTTCATGTTCTATATTAAGCACTTAAATGATGGCTGAGAAGAGAGATAGTGAAGGAAGGACAGGCGACGAGGAAAATGTAAGTTTTTATTTTAATAAGACAAAAAAAGCACAGGGAAATCATACAATTTTGTTAAATAAGACATGATATCTTAATCATATACTAAAATGCTTAAGACATTTAAAATCAGTTTTATGTAACAAAAGAAAGGATGCATTAAGGTTAGGTTTACATATTTAACATCCACTACGTTCCGACGATAACAGTATACTAGTTCAGGCGTAGATGTACAAAAAACACTCTTTATTAATCATAAGTAACAGACTTCTCAGTATGATACGGATCTGTATTATAAAAAATGTAATTTATGATAAAAGTTGGTATTTAATCGATAGGACGTTAAAAGAGAACTATTGAAGACAAACATTTCCACTGCTAAAAGCAACATTTCTGATGACGCAAGTATTAAGTCCGACATAAGCGAGCATCACTCTCAACAAAGAAACCGACCTTTGACCTCTGGTGAGTAAAATCTTTTGCCTCTGTTAAAATTCATATAAAATTTTAAAATTCTCTCCTTTAATAACATTCGATGAATTTTTAAATTTTATATGAAATATGTTTTTCTTTAACCTTATAGAAATAATTGTTTAGGAATATTTAACTTCTTATTTTTCAATTTAATGGCAATCAAATGTATTGATTAAAACTATAAAACTTTATTTACCGATCATTTTTATGATAAATCACCTATGTCCCCTTTTTGGAGATTGTGTTGTCAGATATGCAATTTGTTTGTTTGTTTTTTTTGTTGTTTTTTTTGGTTTTTTTTGTATGATACAATGTAAAAGTTTTCTTTGATATTTTGTCATATTTACTGATATATCAGATGATTATATTTTCACAGATCCGTTATCAGATTTAACAGACAATCAGCGTGTCGTTCTCTACACCCTGTTTCTTTCTGGAGAAGAAAATGTTGTTTTGCATGATGACGTCTTTATGGGAGACATTGATGTCTGGAAGACGCTAAAAGAGCTGGAGGACAGGGAAATGGTGGAACTGTTGTCTGAAAACAAAGAAAAACTCGTATCTGTGTATTTTATCCCAAGTTACACACGATGGGAGATAATGGAATCTTACAGAGAGAACTGTTTGCTAAGTGATATAGACAAAGAGTTTTTCGTGGATGTGGTCTCAGACACCCCTTTATATTATGTTGAAACAGAGTCCAATATCTTAAACCTTGATGTGTCAAGTCCAGAAGCCAAGAGATCTCTAATAATAATGAGATTGGTAATGGAGGGGAAGATTGACAGACAAATACAGCTTATTGGAGGTACATGTATGTATCCTTCACTTAATTTTGTGAAGCTAGATTTAAAATAAAGTATGTACATGTATATTTGCAGCACATTTATAATTTGATTTTTTAGACACATTTTTAATGTCTACAATACATTATAATTAAACTCCATAAATCCTGCTGGAAGAAGAAGCATCGTTCCTTAATCAAATCTAGATGTTTTAAAGAGTATATCATACTTTTTATTTTCTCATCAAACTATTTTTGAAAAAAAAATTCCTAAAGCTCGTTTATATATCGAAACATCAAGCAAATATAAAAATCACATATTAAGCGTGGGTGTTCTGATTTTCTCATTCAATGTTGCCTTAAAAATCTATAATGAATTTTTAAAATGGTTCTCCCTAGCATGCTTCATATTTTGAATTTATTTTGTTTTGTTTTCAAACGTCACCACCCATCTATTGGAATTCCCATGGGTACCAATTGCGCTCCATTATTAGCAAACCTATTTTTATTATTCATATGAAGCAGAATTTGTGCAAATTCTTAGGCGAGAAAAGAGGAAAACACTTGTTGCCTTCAAATCGACATTTAGATATATCGTCGACCTATTGTCAATTAACAATGGTAATTTCCCATTCCAGTCGATACGATATATCCTGGTAAGCTTGAGATCAAAGATACCACAGATACCGATCATGACATGGAGCACACGGCAGGTGTGACCGGTCGGCAGAGGATGCTCACTCCTCCTTGGCACCTGATCCCACCTCTTATGTTTTGGAAGTCTGTGTTTGCTCTTTTCTTTTTTTTGTATTGTTTTATAGACTTTGATATTGAATACTGTTCGTTATCTCCAACATTTTTTTCTGTGTCATATAGACAGATTTGACAGAATAATTCCAAATCAATTCTACGCTGATTCTGAAAAATTTGTTCAATTTTGGAAGAATTATTGTACCTGGAGAAACCTACATCCTACAGATTGGTCTAACGGAGTCAGTGATACAGAAGTCGAAAGATATTACTCAGTATACACAATCCTTTCTGGATATGAGGAAGGTAAACCAGAATATTATTTATAGAGGATTGAATTTGCTCAAGAGCTAAAATTTAAATTGAATACAATTATAGCAATGTATTAAAACATCATGTTTAAATACAAACTGAATACATAAATTGTATTCAGCGTTTATCGTTTGAATTGCTTTCAAACAGCACATATCTACTTTCAGAATTCCTAAAATTGGTTTTAAACAAGTCAAAGTGGAGCATACTTGTACTTATTTTAATATCAGAGAAGTACCGCATTTTCTATGAAGAAAAGTTGCTGAAAGAGAAAGTCGATTTAATACGACGTACATTTTTAAAAATGATTGATTCTGAAGATTGTTTGTCTGATATCACAGTACTTATACAAGAATTGATTGACAAGGATAAAATACTAAAAGTGAATAAAGAGAAGAATACACTAGAGTTTATATCAGAGGATCTACGTCATCTTGTAATGGGATACTTTGTTCTGAACTGTTTAAAATCTGATGAGGACTACAAGAACTACATCAAGTTGTCATCAGTTGACTCGGTGTTTGATTATGTCCGTACGTTAGACTATGAACATGGTAAAGTGGGAATCGGAGAAAGATATATCTACTTACCGATTACGTTGGAGGAGACCTTGGTAAAAGAGGTTGGAATAGACATCGTGCGACACGTCATAGTAGAGGAAGAAAGAATACACGATTTGGTGTCTGATATTTGTAAGTTTCACATAATTCAGACTACTGTAACTGAACAGATATCCTGAAATGTCTAACTTCTTTCTGCCTCTTAATAGTTTCTTAAATTCACCAGATCAAATCAAATACTGTTTTTAAGAGGGATTTGGAGACACATACATGTATCGTGTAGGTTGAAATTTTCGCGAAAAAGCAAATTTAGCGATTTCTCCTTTTAAAAAATGTGTTTTATTTTAAGCGATAATTATTTTAGCGATTTTAAAATACTAAATTAGGAAGCTATAACAAATAAAACCCAATTAATTTTTAACGATATTCAATTTAGCGACCGTTCACAGTAGCTCAGTCGGTAGAGCGCTCGCTCCGTGATCGGGAGGTCGTGATCATGAGTTCGTATCTCGGCCGCGACTGACCTAAGTCGATAAAAAATGGGTAGCAACTGTTCCTTCGCCATGCGCTCGGCACTTTGAAGTGAAAGTTGTGGGTCCTTCGGATGAGACCTTAAAAACAGAGGCCCCGTGTCAGCGGCAGGCGTTGGCACGATAAAGATCCCTCACTGCTCAATGGCCCTGAGTGCCGAGTAAAGGTCAAAATTTGAAGCCCTTCACCGGCATACTTCCGCCACAAAATATAGTTCCTCTCTAATGTTCCGGTATGGAATTAAATCATGGGGTGGTTGAAACTGAATATAGTTGAATAAGTATTATAGAATCCAAATTTTTTGTTAGAACTAAAACATTCCGTAGAATTTTTAATAGAGGTAAAGACAAAAATCTGCTCAAAAGTTCTTTAAGGTTCACGGTCAAAAAGGGATGCTTACTTTTAGGCACCTGGTCCAACCTTTCCAGAGGTCTGCGTTTTATGACATCTCCACATATCTATATATGGTTGATAGATTTTTGAGATCGATCACTTCAATTAGATTGGCAAACTTATGCATAGTTTTACAATATAAATTATGCGAAAAAAAGAACAAATAAACATGTTTGTATGCATTTGTACAAGTACATTTGGATTTCAATTTCATCAGATATTGTCAACAATTAATTGTCACGAAAAAGAGGACCATTTTGTATAAAACTAAATGTAAAGGCTTACAAATTTTTTTTTACAAGAAACATAGAATTAAAATAAATGTTTTGGAACATGGTTTTTATGCAAAAAGTAATTATCCAAATTACACGACATTTCTGTTTTCATTCAGTAAATGTTCCAAAGGAAATTCTTAACTGGGACTACGAAGCAAGGTGCAGGTACGTAGAATGTGCAAAGAAAGGGACACAAACAATTCACAGAGCTCGTGCTATGATTGTTGGCTGTGCTGGTGCTGGAAAAACAACTCTTCTGAAACGACTACAAAAGCGATCTCTCGATGAATTACAACAGGTTCAAAGTACAATAGGTCTTGAAGTGCATGAAGACATCTTTGAAATTTTGGAAGAAAATGACTTCCTAAAAGGTTTAAATGAAAAACAGTCCGATTTTTTCACATTCTTTGAAATATTCATTCAATTTAACGAAAAAATCATTTACAAACAGAATTTTGCCACTCGAAAAAAGT